TGATGATGATAAAGGTGATGACTGTAATCATGGTAATGCTGTTGGTGGTAGTGATGATGAGGATGATGGTCAAGACAGGGACGAATGAATACATGGTCAAAATTGATGATAATGATGATGATAGTGATAAAGGAGATGAATGTAATCATGATTGACGACTGTCAATAATTGACGATGATGATAGTAAGTATTGAGTTTTGATGATGAGGATGACAAAATGATGTTGACAACGGTATTCATGATCAACATTAATAATGATGATGATGATGATGATGATGATGATGATGGTGATGATGATGATGATTATTATACATAAAATTATCCCTACATGTCCCTCCATTGCAGACTTCATGCTGAATTCTTCGGAGCTCTTTGGTTTGACTGTGACTGGAATGACTGTATCAAACTTCTCTGCATCTTCTCCTGGCTCTTCTAGAACCTACACAAGGAAAAACAAAAACGAAATGGGAAACCATAGCACTAATAGCAATCAGTTCAGGAACCCTGGAACAATCTCTGGGCTGAACTAAGTCAGGTCATGACCAATTCAAAGATATAACCCTGGGACAACCTCTGGGCTGATCTAAGTCAGGGCATGGCTAACTCACAGATCGAACCCTGAAACAACCTCTGGGCTGATCTAAGTCAGGACATGGCTAACTCACAGATCGAACCATGAAACAACCTCTGGGCTGATCTAAGCCACTTGAAACCATAAATACTTCACCAATTTCGCTTACCCAGTCAGTCGCTTCAAACATTTTGAGATCAAGTGGATCCCCGGTCAACTCGCCGTCAATAACTGTCAATGTATGACATGTTGCCATGGCAATCAATAAGGGCTCTTTTGGTAAGGTAGTGGCATCGGAGATCATCATACTAAAACTGAGGAAATGAGACGAGTCACTAAGGAACCTACAGAGACACATCCAAATCTGCTCCCCCCTGCCTCCCCCCCAGGGTCGTAACCAGGGGGAAGCACAGGGTGCACGTGCACCCCCCTTAAAAGCTTAAGGTTTGCTCATCTATCTCCTTTTGCTATACAATTGCATAAGAATGGTTTTTTTTGATTAAATGAAGACCACTTTCCATCTGCATATTGTAGCATTTTTAAGAATCACTCACCCATTGTCCCTTTTTCTTTTTTTGGTTCTGCTATTTCTTTTGGTTACCTTTTTTTCTTTTTTTGGTTCTCCAAATCATTGCCTGTGCACCTCCCCTGCAAGATTCCTGGTTACGCCCCTGTCCCCTCCCCCATATATATATACTAATAAATTACTATTAATACATTTTTAATAATAACCATACCTTTCTTTTTGGACAGCAACGACTCCAAGGATGTCCAAGCCATCTTCAGTCAGTGTGCCAGTCTAGAATAAAAAAAACGTAAGCAATAGTTCTTAGAAATAGTCAC